GGAAGGAGGGAGATGCAGGTGACTCTCTGCCCCCACTGGCACCCCACTCCCCAGCCCCCACTTCCAAGCCACAGAACGCTGTCCCCACTCCCCTGTCCCTACTCCCCGAACTCTGTCCCCACTCCCGTCCCCACTCCCCAAACTCTGTCCCCACTGGCACTCTGTCCCCAGCTGCAGAAACCTGTCCCCACTGGCACTCTGTCCCCTGCTGCAGAACCCTGTCCTCTGCCCTCCCAGCACCCTGTTCCCTCTCCCATGCCCCCAGCCGCAGTACTGTCCCCACAAAATGTTTAATTCTAAATGCTTCATTTTAGATTTAAATAGCATGAATAAAAAACAGACCATTTATTTCATAACTATAAACACATGATTTTAATTGTATGTATCGCATAATTTAAAAATAAACTGTTTATCAGAGTGTGTAAGTAAGGGCTGGGGATAGCAATTGATGGACAGGAGGAGAGTAGAGAGGGCGGGGCTTCAAGGAAGGGGCCAGGCGGTAGATCTTCGCCTGTTCTGAGATTTAAAAAGTGATCTTGGGTGTAAAAAGGTAGGAGAACACTGACCTAGAGGATACAGTTCACAAGTTGTCTGCATGGAAGAAAGGTAAGCATCTCTGCTTCCTTCTCCTTCCTACCGGTACCCTGCAAACCATCTGCCTGAGTCTTAAACTGAGTTCATTCCCTACCATGGGGTATCCTGTAGGAGCCTGACTATTCACCGCACCTATCACAACTGAGCTACTTGGTTGGGAAATATCATGACATGCCGGTTGTGCTTATACAATCAATGGTAACTTTACATATGCTCAGACCTGTTTAATGAAAGCTAATTTCAATAGACTTGATTCAAGGATGAATTTGGCCTTCAGTTTTACAAGGCAAGTCATTTTAATAAGAAAACTCCAATGAACAGAGCTTATCTAAAAAGGCACCTCAAAAATAAGTGTCCAAGAATGAAAATATTACTTCTGGTAAATAGCTATGAGTAGGAGTAATATTCACAGGGTTTGACTATACAACTAAATATGCTGTATATAATTCATGAAGTTTGCACATTTAAACCAGTATTTTTAAAAAGGAAAAAAAAAAGCCTCAGGCAATTTCTGAGATGTCAGAGTATATTTTTCTTGTTTTGTTTAGGTTTCTGAAAAACGGGATGATTTAGACATTATATACCAACAAAGGAAAAACAAAACAACGGGAATTTAGCCATCTATTATTGTACTTCTATGCATATATTAAATGCAAGTCATCCAGCCCTCTCAGACAAGACTTACTGCTATAATTTCCACAGGGTGGTGCTCTTGCCTCAAAAATTATATTATACTTTGTCTTGAAAAAAATGTACTACTAGGCACTGTACTACTTACCTCAGGATGAAAGAAAATTTCAGGTCCAAGAAACCGTTCATAACCAACATCTATAATGAATTTTTTTTTGTTGATTGCGTTGATGCCCGTGTACTGTTTGATCCATTTTCGTGGATCTACATCATATTTGGCAAATTCTTTTACTATGTCAGGGCAAATGTAACAATATTTTTCCTGTAAAGAAATAACATGCTTTAAAATTGCCTAAACTGATCACATATAATAAATATACTAAGGAATATTTCAGGAAAACAGGGAAAATTGAAGCATTAAAAAAAGGTCTAGACCTATTACATTCTATTCACATTTGGTAAACACTGTTGTTACAGTTCTAGCCTTACTCTGAAGGAACAAGCTCTTCAGGAAAAGTCCGATCAACTTATTATGTGAGGCCCCCAATTCTTAAGTGAGATGCACAAGACCTAATTGATTTCAATGGGGCACCACACAAACTCCTTAACTCGGTGATTCTCAAACTTTTTGACCTATGGACCACCTCGCTCAATGTAAATCTTTCCACGGACCACCAGGTGCAAATGGAAACTCACCATTAATTACATAATTACACCCAAGCCATTTTACTAGTGCTGCAGCTAGGGAGAATGGCTTAAAGCACTTAATCTGTTTAATAATTTAAATTAAGTTTCTCATGTTTATCAAACTTCATTTTAAATAAAATATTAATTTATGTCCAACGCAAAAGGTTTCAATTGTTTATTTATGGCAGGGGGGGGGGGCACAGAAAAATCAGTTAGGGACCACACAAGTGAGAAAACACTCCTCCAAAAACCCTCACTGATGTGGCTCCCAACTGAGACATCTCACTCCTCTGGCATTCCAGCCCCACAGAGACACGGGAAGGAATAGGGAGGACTGAGGTTCAGGGCTTCCCATAGGTCAATTTACTTTTCTGGGCTGCCAGCGTTAATGGATTTCATGGACCCCCCTTAGGCTCTGGAATGGGGACAAAAACGAGGGGTTCAGTGTGTGGTACAGGGCTGCCAGTAAGCGGGATAGGGATGGGGTGCAAGAACTGGGAGGGACATGGGTGCAGAAGGGGGTGAGGGTGCAAGGTCTGTGTGGGAGGTATGATGCAGAAGCAGGCTAGGAATAGGGGGTCTGGTCAGTGGGGAGAGTGCAGGAGCAGCTTGGGGGTAGGGTGTCTAGCCAGGAGGGAGGATGCAGGAGCAGACTTGGGGCAGGGTGTCCGGCCAGGGGCAGGAAGATGGGGGCAGGAAGTGCCTGGGACTAAAGCTGGGGGGCAGACTGGCTGAAGGAGCTCATGGAGATGGAGGCAGAGTGCCCCTGGAAATAGGGCTGGGGTCAATGTGGCTCAGAGGGGGAAGGTTTCCAGGGAAATGGAGGGGCAGGAAGGCTGGGTGTGGTGCAGCAAGGTGAGGGTGGGTGGGATGGTGACCCCGGGGTGTACAGCCCTGCAGGGGATGGGTTCCACAAGGGTACAGTCCATGGCACTCTCAGGAGGCGGGAGCTGAGGCAGCTCAGTCCCTCCCTCCAGACCAAGCCCCGTGGGTGCAAAGCCCTGAAGGGCCCCGAGCCCCCCCTGCCTCTTGCGTGCGCAGGGTCCTCAGTTCCAGCATCGCCTCCTCTCACCACTGCTGAGCACGATGTAGCCCAACCTGCTGCCGGGGAAATGGGGGGCCACCAGCCACTTCTGCACTACGACAGCCCATCTCACCTAGCTGAGCTCCATGCAACCCAACCTGCTGCCTGCCCCACAGGACCAACCAAGAGACGCACCGTTCTTTCCATGGCAGTGGTGCTTCTCCATGTGTAGCTCCGCAGCCCGTGCAGTGGGGGTGTGAGTTTGCTTTCTTCACCTCTCTGCCTGCCGGCTGGAGCTAATGCTACAGCCTCACGGCTAAACGCCAACTCCTCGCTGCATGGGGCGGGGGGAGGGGTGAGCTCCTGCCACAGGGTTCCTGGGAGACCACCGCAGGCCACTAGTGGTCCACGGATCACACTTTGAGAACCACTGCCTTAGCTGTATGGAATGTTACTGAAATTAATGAGTCTGTAAAGACAGAAGGTCCACCTGTATGCAGTTAGCTGCAAGATCAGAATTAGGTGATCATCTCAATAATATTGTATAAGACCCAAAACTAAAAGTTTTATGATGAATTTTCTTAACTATCGTGGCATCTTGGCGCAGCCCCTCCTCCTCTTTCTGCCTGGGACTGGAATGCAAGCACCAGCAGCCTAGACCCAGGTCAGTAATAAGGTGTGGGGGGTTTTTTGTGTGGTTTTTTTGTTTTTGTTTTTGCTCTTCACTGGTGTGTGGCCCCTGACAAAAGAAAGTTCTCTTGAAAGCCAGAATCAAATGCCAATTTCACACTTAAAGCATATACATAGTAACCCTAAAGAAAAACCTTGTTTGATAATTATTAGTATTTCTCCTTGCTTCCCTTTACACCAAGGTGGGCAATAACTTTTGCAGGGGGGACCACTTCATGAACTTTGGTTCGTAATCATGGTCCAGCTCTGCCCCCGCGCCTCCTGAAGGGGTCTGAAACATAAAGGGAACCACCCCTTCCATCGGGCCTGGACAAAATATAGCCCATGGGCCAGATCCAGCCAGCCAAGCCACCGGCTTGATCCAGCCCACAAATGTAGCGGGGAGCCCCAGGCAGGCTACCTGCTTGCCCCGCAGACCGCTTAGAAAAGTGGCTGAAGGCCCATTTTTCTTTAAAAACTATGAGCCCGAAGGGGAGGCTTCAGGCACTGCCCTGCCCCCAGCACAATCCCAATGGCTGGTTTTGCCCAAATGCCTCGTAATCAACTGGTCAGGGCCTTGCGATCAACAGGTCGAGGCCTCGCGATCGACAGGTTGGTGACCACGGGCCTAGAGGAAACCGCCAGCTGTTTTGAACACATTTTCCCCTCATTTTGTGAAGAGATTAAACAGAAGGAAAAGTATAGTTAGACAATTCCTATATTTGTGTAAGTAAAAAGGGCCACAGACAGTATGTTAAAAACAAAAGAAAACAAAAATCTGCCTCTCTTTAAAGGAAGGCAACTTTCACATCAAATTTTTACCTTTATAGCTTTTGCTGTCTCCAGAGACTGTTCAGGTGGAATTCCCACCTCCCTGTCCCTTAGGAGCTGCTGAATGAAGTATGTAATATCTCTCCCTGCAACAGGGATATGTTTGATGCAACTTCCAATTACATATCCTTCTGCCTATGGGGGGAAAAAAAGGCTTAGAAAAAGCTCATGTATGAAGCACCAAAAGTTAACAGAAGCATATAATGTTCATTTTTACCCAGGAGATTCTTAGTTTATTTGTTTTAACTAAAAGTGAAACTTTGACACCTCTCAGAGTGACCTCACATTTGTAAACACCTACTTTCTAAGGTACTTGATTACTATGTGCACAACTGATGTTGCTTAATGTTATCAGCAGTGAGTGTAAAAAAAGATGAGTAAAAGGCTAATCTTAAATTCATGTTGAAGATAGAGATGTTCCAACTATGTCATCTTTTTCAGGAATGTAGGGTGTCTCAATCTTTTTTTAATAAAGTACCCCTTTTCAAAAAAAAATTATAAGTACCCCCAGTATTTACAGTTTTCAGACGCACATTTTTTTCTACCGTGGCAACACATTTGTTTAGATAACTTAATTGTAGCCGGGTGGGCGATGCAATTTTTGGGTGTAAAAAGTACAAAAACAACAAAGCTCTGTAAAACTTAAAACAAAAATTGAGTTTTCTCCAAATTTCAGTTGTGTTGATGTACCCCCAGACTTCTCTCAAGTACCCCTAATGGTACTCAAACCACTGGGTGAGAAACACTGATCTACAAAAGGCAAAAAGTACTCCTGAGTAGAGAAAGCAGGTATCCTGCATAAAAAAATTGATAGAAAAGAAAAGGCTTTACAAAAATATCGAAAAACAAAAAAGGTATTCAAGGGAAGGGAAGTGGCCAATGAGCACAGTAAAGAGAAGTAATGGAATTCTGAGAAAAAGGAAGAGGGTAATATTGGCCATAGCCAGTAACAGCAATGACTACTACAGCAATGACTACTTCATACGGCAAGCTTGTTTAGTTTCCAATAGTTCCCATTTGATGGCAAATAATGCACAGTACAGATAATCACAAACATGCAATAAACCTAAACATTTGAATGGAGCCCACAGCACTGTAATATATTCCAGTATTCAGAGGTCATTCAGGCATATTATGTCTCCCGCAAATATACTGAATGCCATAATTGGAACAGAAATTACAATCATTATTTCTCTACTCTAATCGTTGTATCCTAAGACATTTAGACAATTAGAAACCAACTAGTTCTCTGTGCTTTGTTTATATATACTTGTGTGAAACAAAGCCAAACTAAGTGTACATTAAAGTGAAGACAGTATCATGAGGAAATATTCCATATTCAAAAGGTAGAATACTATACAAATGTCCAAAAAAACATTTTGAGTATAGAACTCAGGACACAGAAAAGTGTTACACCTTCAAAGGAGAAATGATCTCACCATCATGTAAGATTATCCACCACACTGATCAACTTTTTCATATTTGAGCAGCATTAATAAATATTGATCATTGGAAAAATTTGGATAAAGAAAGATGCACGGACAGGAATAAGACTCCTATTTATACAAGAATAGGACTCTCCAAAAGGCATATTGACTCCTTTTATAAAGCCTTCATGTTAGAAGACAGGATACTAGGCTAGATGGACCAAGTATGGCATTTCTTTCTGACCTCAAAGAGAAAGAACCATAATGGCATTTAATGAACTTAGATTTCAATGTTTTACAGCTACTGTAATCACACTGTCAAGACTGGTTTGGAAAATATTGATTGTTCTGTATTAATATCACCACTATAAGATTGAAAAATTTAAAAATTTGATTTATATTTACATATCCTCTACTGCAGGCATTTCTAGTTGCATTATCTATAATTTGGTTCTAAAATGAATGTGTCGGCATCCCTTTTACACATATATACATTCTTTCCTCTAATCTCCACTACTCTTCCACAGTGCCACAATTAATATCCCCAAAACTGGACAAAAATAAAATTGATTTATTAACTGAAGACCAAAGAAACTTTCACAGTCACACAAAGAATTTAAGATTGTAAACTACAATTTACTACCTACCACAGGAATTACATGCGTTACTCCATCACCACTGTCAACGACTATTCCTGTTAATGTACGCTCGCCAACCTGCCGTGAAGTCCAAGATGCAGCTAAGGCCAACACTGCCTAGATAAGAAGCAAAGTTAATATTTAGATATGAATAGAACATGTTAATAGACAATTTTAGATAATCCTCATAGACTTTAAGGTCAGAAGGGACCATTATGATCATCTAGTCTGACCCCCTGCACAATGCAGGCCACAGAATCTCACCCACCCACTCCTGGATCCGTGCCTCATGCTACAGAGGAAGGCGAAAAACGTCCAGGGCCTCAGCCAATCTATCCTGGAGGAAAATTCCTTCCAGACCCCAAATCCTGCTTCAAACATTTTAGGTATATGCTTGCAGAAGACCATACATACTCCAGTTATACTGTACTTTAGAAGTATAGATTCACTTTGTTCACCTGAACAGCAATGTAAAGTCCTGGTATATTAAAAGATTCAAATATGATTTCTGCAAGATACTCTCTGTTTTCTGGAGTGTTCAGTGGCGGTTCTGTCTGTAAAGAAAAGTCACCTTATTAAATATCTAATGCAGTTCAGATTTTTATCAAATGAGGCTCCTGACACAGCAGTAATCAATTTTTTTCATTTTATGAATGTACTCAAGAACCCCAAATAAGTCCCAGGTAAACAGATCTGGATCCATTTACTCTTTGGAGGTTAGACGCAGGCCCAACCTTCCACAACATGATTGTTAACATTTCTTTGAAAAATTATTGATTATTTAGAAAAAGCTTTGGTTTGACATGTGAACAGAAATGACATCCAGGCAGACCAGGCTTTTCTCGCCGACGCCTGGGGTAGAGCAGCTGGGGCGCTGCCGGGTAGGTCCCCGCAGCGCCGCACCTGGGCGCTACTGGACCAACCTGGCAGCACCCCAGCTGCTCTGCCCCAGGCGTCCCCAAGGCAGAGCTGCTCTGCCCCGGGCCTCCTGGAATCAGCCGCTGATCAGTTTCAGCAGCGGCTGACTTGGGAACACCTGGGGGTAGAGCAGCTGGGGCGCTGCCGGGTAGGTCCCCGCAGCGCCGCACCTGGGCGCTACTGGACCAACCTGGCAGCACCCCAGCTGCTCTGCCCCAGGCGTCCCCAAGGCAGAGCTGCTCTGCCCCGGGCCTCCTGGAATCAGCCGCTGATCAGTTTCAGCAGCGGCTGACTTGGGAACACCTGGGGGTAGAGCAGCTGGGGCGCTGCCGGGTAGGTCCCCGCAGCGCCGCACCTGGGCGCTACTGGACCAACCTGGCAGCACCCCAGCTGCTCTGCCCCAGGCGTCCCCAAGGCAGAGCTGCTCTGCCCCGGGCCTCCTGGAATCAGCCGCTGATCAGTTTCAACAGCGGCTGAATCTGGACGCCAGTTCCAACTTACATACAAATTCAACTTAAGAACAAACCTACAGTCCCTATCTTGTACGTAACCCAGGGACTGCCTGTACTGTGGCCATAATAAATAGCATGCCTTTGACATGTAAGCAGTACAAGAATTAAAAAAAAAAGTCACATTCAATGAATGACGGTGATCCCACAAACACTTTTGCAACTTCCCAATTTCCTACTGCAAGTGGTCCCATTGATTTCAATAGGACTACTCATCATAATAAAGTTAGACAAAGTGCATGTGTGTTTGCAGAATTTGTATACAAAGGATAATCTTCATTATGTACAGGAAGAAGACTTTGCCTCCAATGATTCTTCACATCCCTGCTACTCCTACATGAAAGGCAGTGAATTACCAAGGAAAATAGATGAAATCATCTGCATTAAATTTTAAGTAAACTAAAATCAAATTGTTTTTCAGGATTCCAAGCAAACAAGCAAATCTAGTTGCACACAACCACCTTTCCCAACAATTCATATAATGTTTAATCATGAACAAGTTTTAAGGTTCATCCAATCTGGGACCTTAACTACTTAATGGTGGTTTTACTTAAAAAAAAATACAGCTATGAATAATGTAGTCTTTATATTTGTCTCCTCCTATGTGCAACTACTGATTTAAAAAAAGAATTTTGCATTAGGTAACTAATTTAATCTTCAACAAAAACCTTTCACAGAAGGTAATACATAACTGACCTATGAAGCCAGGCTTCATGAACTGGGCTTGTTTAGTTTGGAAAAAAGAAGATTAAGGGGGGACATGATAGTGGTTTTCAAATATCTAAAAGGGTGTCACAAGGAGGAAGGTGAAAATTTGTTCCTCTTGGTTTCTGAGGACAGGACATGGAGTAATGGGCTTAAAGTGCAGCAGGGGAGGTTTAGATTGGACATTAGGAAAAAATTCCTAACTGTCAGGGTGGTCAAATATTGGAATAAATTGCCAAGGGAGGTGGTGGAATCTCCCTCTCTGGAGATATTTAAGAACAGGTTAGATAGACATCTGTCAGGGATGGTGTAGACGGAGCTTGGTCCTGCCTTGAGGGCAGGGGGCTGGACTCGATGACCTCTCGAGGTCCCTTCCAGTCCTATTATTCTATGATTCTATGAACTGTACATATGATTGCTAACATATAGCATATTGCTAAGTGACATTTCTCCCTATTTCACTGTAATGCTTTATTTTGTTTGACTGAAGTCAGCCAATTACTGACAGATGTAATTCAATCAAGCCACCCAAAGCTTTAAAAAAATAAAGCCCAAAGCAAGAAGCCCACTTCAGGAGTAAAGAGTCGGTTTCCAGTAATGCGAGTTTATAAATTATTTCTAAAGCTATAAAAATGAAAAGTTACTAAAGGCTTCTAGGATTTATATATATAAATAAATAAATGCCTGTGTTTGGAATGATATCCAGCACAATTATTCCATCTCCCATTTGTGGAAGCATTTTCTCACCCAGTTCCTTTACACACCATTAAAAAGTAATGATCTTCAGGTTCAGCACGAAGATATTTGAAAATTACTTGCTCCATGAATCTCTCCATGAGATCCCAATCTTCAACAAGACCATGTCGTATAGGCCACTGAAGAAAGAGAACATTTTAAATCATGTGTATGAGCCAATAGGTAATAAGGATGCAAAATTCCAATCAACAAGTTAACCAGTTAATTGACTAAGCAGGCTCCTGGCTCTGGGACTAGGGCTGCTGCTGCTGCTGCTAGACTCCCAGTCAGAGTCTTCCATGAGATCCCAATCTTCAACAAGACCATGTCGTATAGGCCACTGAAGAAAGAGAACATTTTAAATCATGTGTATGAGCCAATAGGTAATAAGGATGCAAAATTCCAATCAACAAGTTAACCAGTTAATTGACTAAGCAGGCTCCTGGCTCTGGGACTAGGGCTGCTGCTGCTGCTGCTAGACTCCCAGTCAGAGTCTCTGCCTGTGGGGGGCCCGAGCCCCCCATGGACAGAGGCTTCACCAGCATCCCACAGAACAACCTCTGTCTACAGGGAGCCCAGGCCTGCCATGGACAGAGGCTGCTCTGGCCAGTTAACTGGAGCCAGTAACATTAAAGGTAAGGCTTACCGAATAACTGGTTAATCATTCACATCCCTGATAGGTAACAATACAATGAACATGAGAAGCAAAATCCTAGTTTCTTCAATGAAAACCATAAATACAAATCTAGGTAAACATTGTGTGTCACCATTCTAATTATAAAAGAAAACCAATAATTTTAAGTTGTCCTCTCCTGAATCTCCCACTATGATTCTGTTCATGGACTAGGAGTCAGAAGACATAGGTTCTATTCTTAGCTCTGTTGCTGCCTTACTGGGTGACCTTTGGCAAAGAACTTCACCTCCCTCTACATCAGTTATCCCACCTGTAAACCAGGGATGTGAGACTTCTCATCCTTTGGAAGCATTTTACAATCTTGGAGTGATCATAGATAAATAGAGAAAACAAGTCTTAAGTATGATATTATTTTAGACCATAGGTTCCTACAGGCAACGACTAGCTTTGCATATTTTTTCAGTGCCCAGCACACGACTGGTGTTTATCCTAATTCATAAAATAAATATCAGATTTTTTTTAATGTATTTAATATATACCCTTATTTTATCAACGCCCCCACCCCAAAAATGTTCCTTCATAGGAAAAAGAAATAGTGAGGCACAGAGAAATGGGCTTATAGGATGACCCTGTGCAAAGGGGCCAGAGGACAAGTTCTGACATTCCTCAAAGCAAATTGATGAGAACCAAAATATACAGTAAATGTATTATAAATATAGATATTCTCTAATTTTCAGCAAGGGGAAATAAAAAGATTTTGCATCTATGACTATTTCAAGTTACTAACACTACTGGGAACAAGAAAGTGCCTTATATAAACGGACCCTCAAAAAATGCATGTTATCAATGTTGCTATACCATTGGTAAAATACCTATTTAAAAAAAAAAGTGACCAAGATGGTGTGCTATACCATTGGTAAAATACCTATTAAAAAAAAGCCTTATATAAACGGACCCTCAAAAAAATGCATGTTATCAATGTTGCTATACCATTGGTAAAATACCTATTAAAAAAAAAAAGAGGCCAACCCACCCACATTTGCAAATGCTAAACTGAAGCAAACTAAAGTAAATCCTTTCATTCTGCATTTGCAATAACTACAGGTGGGACCTCTCTGATCCAGCACCCTTGGGGTCTGAGCAGTCCCGAACCATGGAGTTTGCCAGACCACGAAGGTCAACTCTCCCCTCCCGGCTGTTGGCCCTACTCCCTGCTGACAGCCCCACTGCCACAAGCCCTGCTGGGGCTGCGCTCCCACCTGGGTCTGGAACTGTGCTCCCCATTGCATTAGGGGCACCAGTCTAAGATGCTCTCCTGGCCACCAGCCCTGCTGCCTCCCTCCCAAGTGGGGCTGCACTCCCCAACCCTGGCCAGCCAGGGCTCTCTGGTCCAGTAATAGCTGTGATCCTGCTAGACCACAGATGTTGCCAGACCAGAGAGTCCTGAATTTTAGAAGTTTAACTTGTAGTATACTTAATGATAGCAAACTTCAGATCATTGTTTAAATGTCTGTCAAATTTTTTTGAAATAATCTACAATAATGAAAACACAGAAAGAGTCAATTCAGGAAGATTTCTGAAAGATGCTAAAAGCATCATTATATATTCTTACCTTTGTAGCATAGGTAGGTTTATCTATTGCTTCATCTCCTATGAAGAAGTCTAGATCATCAACCCCCTTCAGTACTCTCCTCTGGGCTTGGTCACCTACTTTTGCTGACTCTCTGATTGCAATACCTAAATAAATAAATAAAAATCCATTATAAAAGTCAGAGAAAAAGTTTCATTTTTAATGGAACACTGAGGTGTTAAGCATTCTCCTTTCCTGCTTTAAATAAAGCATTCAAGACTTCTTTTCTCAAAAATAAAGACTGGAATATAGGATGTGACAAGTTGACAAACTAACATATTAGCCTGCATTTTCAGTGCAGTGCAGAGGATTTGGTCACTCATCTACAATTATCATCAGTGGGAGTGGCAACCAAATCCCCACACAGATCACTTAAAAAATTTACCTTATTGCCAACTACAGGATTCAAGAAAGCGGTATATTTTTGTATTTCCAATTCAGTAGGCACTCCTGAAGTGAGGAAATCACAGGTTTTTCTGGGTCTCAATATATCAGGCATATTGGCGATTTCAGAGAAAGGAAAATGGGGAAGCAGTTGGATAAAGAAAAAATATTCTGAAACAGTAAATTACTGAGCCATTATTACGGCTAATAAAAAAAATCAATTTGCAGCCCTATAGAGAAGCCGATTGAGACATTCATGCTTGTTATTAACAGGAGGCAACTATCACTAAAATCGCTAACAGAAGGCTGGTGTAGGCAGAAAGACTAAGCAGCAAGAAATCTAGGGCAAACTATGAATAAAAACAGAATAAACTACTGTAAAACGTAGCCTGCTTATTTACAATCTTGTTTCATTAAGCCAAAATCACACACTCAACTACTTATAATGGAGAACAGACAGTATTGTAAAATAATCACCTAAGAAGGCTACTATCAGTATTAGGACAAAGGACTTCTTTTCTCACCAGACCCCACAAAACATTCCAGTTGTCAAAAGCAGGATTTACATTAAATTAATAGTTATGAGAAATATTTTCTACCATATTGTACACACAAACCTATTTAGCTCAACATATAAATATATCTTTATAAACTCTTTCAATTTAGAAAATTGCCTAACACTAAAAATTATTAACTGAACCACATCATTATTATGCTATAGTTCTGAGAAAGGGTGCTTTCTCAGTTACTTCCTTGGACCTCAGGGCTTATCTAGCATTTCCTTACCTTGTAAAATATATCAAAAAAAGTCAGCATTCAAGGCAAGCAAACAAAAAAAAATACTGTGGGCATTAGAAAACTACATGCTGTATTAGATTAATGGAACAAATTTCTATACATCTTTTTAAAATACAGGAGAAACATAATTAGTATCTCAAATTTAAGGCAATATGTAGTCCATACCGAAGCTCTTAAGCATAATATACAAAACATTACTGAAATAAAGGACAACTAAAATCAATGGCATTTAAAAAGATATAAAATTTAGATTTGAACATTTTGCTTTAATATGCATCTATAAAAACAGGTAACTGATCCAAATAATGAGACCATTTTAATACACTAAGGGCACAGCACTTGTGCACCACAAAAGGTGGATATTGTATATTCCTAAAACTGGGAGTAATGGTCCCTATTGTAGTCTATCAAGTGTTATGTGCATACACCATAGTCCTGAAGCTGGAGCTGCTCAAAAGACTAATGCTTGGCAGTTCATGCATGCATCCTTGTATTGCCTCAGGGTTCCACATGAGTGCCAAGCAGTGCCAGCAGCTCCATGGCAGTTTCTTCCTTTGCCTCACCCAAGAAGCTGGTGTCCAGCTCCTTTGGCACAAATACAACAACAGCAAGATCAACCATACGGAGAGTAAGAAACAGGAACTCGTGGATTGAAAGGTCATCTCATCAGCTGGATGACAGATCCAGATCTCTAACTACTTGACACTGAAGTCCATGTATGACTGCATCCTAGAGCATATCGTGGCATGCATATACGTTATGTCCTTTGCCAGCCTGCACCCTTGTTGTCCGCAACATTAGCTGCAAAGACTCTATTCCCCTATGCATCATGTTCCACCAAAGGTCATTTCTTTGATGGGGACAGATCCAATACAAGTCTGTGGAAGGACTTCCTTCCTCCCATTCTCATTGACCATGACAGTTATAACAAATGCATCACTCTCAGGCCAGGGTGCTCATGCTGGAGATCACATGAGACACAGCACCTGGACAATGCGAGAGACCAGGACGTATATAAATATTCATGAACTTTGGGTAATATACAAAGATGCCACACATTATTACCAGCTATCCGTTATTAGGGATGTAAGCAGGTAGGCGAGTCAAGTACTCAACTACTCACTTCCCCCCCACCTACACACTTCCTCTGTATCAGAGGCAGGAAGGAGAGAGGGAACAGGAGCTGGTGGGGAGGAGCTGGCTGAAAAGTCAGATCCCCCTAACACCGCCTCCATGGTACCGCCTACTCCCTCCTGCCCCCCTGCTGCGGCAGTGAAGCATCCCCTGTTGCCTTAACATGCAAATGGGCATTGGAGAGCCCATGCTGGTGCTCACCCTCCTGTCACCGCACCGTGGGGCTGGTGCACATAAAATCCAGTAGCCTGGGCCTCCCTAGACACTGGTGAGCAAGGGGAATGTCTTTCTCCTTCTCAGTCAGGGCTGATTTTTCTGTGGGTCAGCAGCCCCGACCCTAAAAAAGGTTCCTCACCCCTCCTTAAAACCATGTCTTTGGGTATGTCTACACTACCCCGCTAGTTCGAACTAGCAGGGTAATGTAGGCATACCGCACTTGCAAATGAAGCCCGGGATTTGAATTTCCCGGGCTTCATTTGCATAAGCCGGGCGCCGCCATTTTTAAATCCCGGCTAGTTCGAACCCCGTGCCGCACGGCTACACGCGGCACAGAGTAGCTAGTTCGGATTAGCCTTCTAATCCGAACTAGCTGTACTCCTCGTGGAATGAGGACAGAGCCGATGATACCCAGTCACTGCAAAGTGCAGGGAAAGCTGCAATCCTGGCAGGGCAAAGCAGCATCTCTGGCCAGTATCTCTGCTCTGTCCTATTAGGACTGCAGCCTCCCTCCCCACTTAAGGGGTCTATATTGTAACTGGAGATTCCTCAAGATGTGCAGACCCTGTGTATTCTAATTCCACCCTCCTTCTTCACTGCTGTGGCTCTGGAGGGCTGCAGGGGAGAGATGTGGCCAGTCTACCACGCCCTTTACCACCCTGTGCCAAAACATGAGGCAATACAAAGGTGCATGTGGTGACTGCTAAGCAATACTACTTTGAAAAGGTCTGAGTCTGGGACCATGTGCATTACCTCGAGTGGAATATAGGTAGGGACCCTATAAAGAACCTCCAGGTACAAGTAAGCAATCTCCTCTTATCTGAACTGGATAGGGAATATGGATTTTATTCAGTTTAGTGAGAGGGCAGGAAGAATTCAGCTGCAGACTGGCTTCCCTCACAGCCAGGAACTCTTCCTTTTCCTTGCAGTACTGGTCAAGGGGCTCACCTCTGCCCTAGCAGGACAGCAGCTCTCCCACATCTTGCATATGCAGAGATCGGGAGTTATCAGCCCTGTATCAGCATAGGGAGCTCTCTGCAGCTCCAGTGTCATGGCCCCACTGCTATGACAGAGAGGCTGAAGAGGGCTCCCTGTACTGCCACAGAGCCGATGATACCCAGTCACTGCAAAGTGCAGGGAAAGCTGCAATCCTGGCAGGGCAAAGCAGCATCTCTGGCCAGTATTTCTGCTCTGTCCTATTAGGACTGCAGCCTCCCTCCCCACTTGGCCAGGGTCCAGTGTCACCAGCCTGCCTCTGAAGTTCAGCTGTCATAACCCTGCTCACTGACTCTCATGATAGCTGGGCTTCAACTGGCACCCTGCACAGCTCTAGGAGCCATTCAGCAGCATGGTAGCTTTGCTGGTAGCCACGTCTGTCCTGCTTCTCCTCCTCACAGTCTTGGTTGGGGGTCTCTGCTCTATTATCCAACCCTTGACATTACCTGACTCCCTTCTGTGTCGCTCAGCATGAGATACATGAATTCTATGTAGAGCAGAATGTATCTCATGCTGAGGGACAAGGTAGAGGTTCTGATAATGCAGAGGTTCAGATACAGAGGAGTATACTGTACATGGCTTCCAACAAGGGACTATATCATTTAGCATTTGTTTTTACTTTTTCTAGAATCCCAGCCTGCATAAAGCTGGATAGACACTGCAGGAAAGTGGTACCCGCATTTCAGTACTTACCTTGACAAGAAGTCTCCCAGTACTACCCAAGCTGCAACCATGCTGTCAGGTAGAGAGGAAGTACCTTGTATTCTGTCTAAACCAAAATCCTGGCAGAAAAACATTAGAGATAGGAAGGAAATGGGACTAGAGTTCTTTTTATCTTAGTCATAGCAAGCAGAAGTAGATTTAATTAAAACAATCCTGGCAAATTTCAGGAAGGAGTTCCTGTTAGTTATACTCGAGCCAAGGATGCGGATATAATGAATAACCCTTCCCATATGGACAAGAGACCTTGGAAGATTGCATAAAGAACTGGAAAACAAATTGTGTATTGCTCATCATAATTTTGTACATCAGTAGTTGGGGCAAAAGTTACTTACATGATGGAATAATGAACTGTGGTTCCGTATTTCCTGCATAGCCAAGTTTTGTGTACCTAAAAAATTTATCAAAAGAAATCAGTTCATTTTCAAGCTCAAAACTGACTATACAAAGCAGAGACAATGATCATGCTGCGTACAGTGTGACAGCTAAACAAGTGTACGGACCATCTACTTTGTTAGACACAGATATGCTCTGAAAAATGACTAAATATCACATGGTGGAGTTCCATATTTATGTCCAATGATTTAAGTATCAAACATTCTCAGTTTACAAGTGAAAAGGTATCCTCTTCACCCTCCTCCTAATTACCAACTCAACTAAGGTTTTCTCTATCTCACTTATTACTTGTAAAAAAAGGTTCAGTGGGACATATTATTCTGTTAACATAAGAACAGCCACACTGGGTCAAACCAAAAATCCATCTAGCCCAGTATCCTGTATTTTGACATTAGCCAAAGCCAGGTGCTCCAAAGGGAATGAACAGGGCAGGTAATCATTTAGTGAGCCATCCCAATGCCCATTCAGATCTTTTGTACTCTAACATCAACACAATCCTATGGACACTGACAGGGTTAGCAGCAGGACTTCTCACACTTGTGCCTTACGTTTATATTGTCTAATGGAGGCAGACGAGAACAAGAGATATGTTTGAAGCTGTGATGGATAGGAGGAATGCTGGCCTCCTAAAAGGTAGCTAGCATGGTGGTTAGCAAAGGGCCAGAAGAACCAATGGGAACACAGTGCTGAAATTTGAATTGTGTAAGATACCTTGCCTGTTTTCTTTGTATAGAGAAATTAAGCCAGGAATTGAGAGATGCAAAATGATGTAAACCCAAGCAGGATTACCATGCTTCCAAGGAATTTGGGGCATGGAAGTGGACTGAACCAGGAAGGGATCAATAAAGGGATGAGATCAATAAAGGGAAAATGTGTATTTATTCACGATTAAGGTATTTTTCTTTATTTTTGATTGTTTGGTTTAAATTTCTCTGTGTGAATCCATGCTTTCCCTCCTGCATTCACCATTTAAGTTATTGCCCAAAGGACTATGGTTCTTTGTGTTTTGATTTGTTCTTTCCTAGTTGCTCTATAACATCTAGCAACCAAGTATGCTTTATCAAGTATATCTTTTGTTTTGCTAATAAAAATCACCTTTTAAGCTGATGATTTGGTTCTTGTGTCCTGGAACATAACAGGGGTCTGCGTGTATATCTGCCTGCCTGAGATGGGGCAATTCGCTACCAGAAACAGCAGCTTGTTTCTCTCTTTTCAAGCTCTTTGGGGCAAAAGTTCTTCAGGTATCCCTGGGGGAGGAATTCAAGTGTTTCCCCCCCCCCTTTTTTTTTAGGGTAAATCACTTGATAGTGGCAGCTTTTGTTTTTTTTCTTAGAGCCAGGGCATCTGTAACTGGGAGTTTTTAGAAGCAGAGCCTAGAGGCAAACGTATTTAAGGTCTTTGAAGGCCCCCATCTTCTGTACTCAGAGTGCCACAGTGGGGAATCAGCCCAGACAGAAGCGTAAGTCTGAGAGCCAGGAACTAGTGTTTTACACCTGGCTGTGATACAGATATTTTCTGTAACATTGAGCAAGTTACTAAGCTTCTTCACAGAGTGGAAAAATTTTAATTTTTTTAGATCAATTTTTATTTAAATCAAATAATTTTCAGCTCTAAAAACCAACCTATTTGAAATTATATCTATATTAAGTCCTACAATTATTATAATCTGTTAAATTATTTAAATAAGAAACAAAATATAAAAGTAAGCAGTAATGTTTGCTACTGAAATGTTAAAGGAAGTCAAACCACAGAACAAGTAAAAAGCACATTTGATCCCATCTGGAGCTAGAGTTGGTTTTAAAACAGTTTTGGACAGGAATAGCCTCTTCTGTAGGTGCAGAGGGAATATATTCTTCACAGTTCAGTTTATTCAACTAGTTCAGTTCAATAACTAGTTCATTCAGATTTAAGAAGACAGTTCTTAAAAGTTGAAACAGCAGGAAAGCCTGTTTATCTCTTCTTAGCTATAAATAAAAACTAACTGTGAGAGGATATCCACTAATTTTAAAATAATGATGTAGATAGTTACCAGAAACAATCAATTCAATTCACTATCTTCTTTGTCAGTTAGTGCAAAACATGTTTGGATAATTTATTCTTATCTATCCAGTACACTTAAGATTTTTTTAAATCAAACACCACACTGGTTTTGTGCATTTTAATTGAATAATAATTTTCATCAGAGCTTGACACAAATAACAAGTAGGAAAATAGTGCAATAAAGAAATATACCATTCACCATTCTCTAACATAGTACAAAAAATAAAAATGGATGTGAATCAACTTAAACAATCATACAGCTTAACATGCAATGTATGTAGATATAGTGTGTCCTCCTATTTACCAAAATGTAGCATCAAATTTAGTATAAAGACTTTATCTACTTGAAAATCAACATGTTTTAATGGTTACCAAAAATGAAATTAAATTTGTTATTTTCTTAAAGAAAATTTCAAATGTAAAACACATTAAAATACATTATTTAAATCAAGCTTTTCTGCTTGCCAGAGTACATGAAAATGGATGACTTTTAAAATTTTATTTAATTACATTTTTTTTTAAACATAAACATGGTTAAAATGAAATCTGAATTCAATAAATTAAGGTCTAAACATAATCTCAAAATATTTTAAAAGTATGCTGAATCCATGAGTCTATCAAAAATTTTGATCTAGATGCTACTTTTCTCTTAAAAAAAAAAGTATCAAGGGGAACATCCAGGTCAAGCTTTATAAATATAGCATGTAAGTCCCAAACTGTATTAAGGATTCGTTCCTGTGGAGGACCGAGGGACTGAGCTACTAGTTTCAAGAGACTGGAAAAGTCACCACAGGTATTGCCATCCAGCCCCTGACTCTATGAGGCACCATCATATCTTTCGTCAGGATCATCCTCTGAACCCACATAAGTAGTTTCATGCGCCGATTTTATGGCTTCGCCCTCCCTGAGCTCTGACTGGCTCAGTTTTCCATTTATTAATATTCACGACTCCACCCACATGGAAATGTACTTTCCAGCTCACAAAGAACACTGAATTACCAAGTAACTACCAGCCCTTGCTTCAGAATGGTTCTGGGCACTTCAAGTAAATGGCCTTGCTCTGTCTCCTTGCATGTGTATATACAAAGACATACAAAAATAAATCTGTTAATTTCTCAACTACCTCCTCTTGTCTCTAGAATCACAGAATCCCAAGGCTGGAAGAGACATCAGGAGGTCATCGAGTCCAGCCCCTTGCCCAAAGCAGGGCCAGCCCTAACTAAATCATCCCAGCCAGGGCTTTGCCAAGCCGGGACTTAAAAACCTCTAGGGATGGAGATTCCACCACCTCCCTATGTAATCCATTTCAGTGCTTCACCACCCTCCTAGTAAAATAGTTTTTACTAATATCCAACCTAGACTTCCCCCAGAGTGGGCCGGAGCCTACTTTGAGAAAGCTGCGAACAGGTTACTCTGGTTTGTTTATCTAAAGGCTCCATAGCCACGGAGCCTTGCAGCTCCCATTGGCTCCAGTTTGCCATTTACAGCCAAGAGGAGCCGCAGGAAGCATTTAAAGGAATGACTATTATTAAGTCACAGTTCTGCCTAAAAAGTATAACTGAATTATTGTGACTAATAACCTGTAAAATTAATAGAATAAATACATTAGAAAAAGTATATTACATGCATAGGAATACATATCTATTTTCAGTTGTTTAGTTTGGGTATACTCAATTTTACTGACACCCATTTAGGGATAATCAGTTTTGTGTGTGAGTGAAGAAAAACATTTTAAAAGTAGGAAAATATGACTGTGATGACAAAAAGACTCAGAAACAGATACCACACCCTGAATTACTTTTAATTCATTTTTTATACTGACTAGATTTCCAAATTGAACTTCAGCCTGGGAATTAGCCTTTGGAGCCTAACACACACCTATGGTTATATTATCTAGAATATAAATATTTTAACTTGGGTGGCAGACTATCTGCCTCAATCACAGATGCCAACTCCATAGGTGCTCCAGAGCTAGAACATCTACAGAAAAAATTAGTGGGAGCTTATCACCCAGGGCAGCCAAGCTCCCTTCCTCCCACCCCACACAGAAGCTCCTGCCTTCCAGAAGCCTTGCTGATCAATTCCTTCAGCTCCCTCCCAGCACCAACCACACGCTGCAGATCAGCTGTTCTGCAACATGCAGGAGGTATTGGGAGGGAGGAGGAGTTGGGACATGGCACACTTGGGAGAAGAAAAACAACAGGTAGGAAGAGGAATGGCAAGGGTAGAGGACTTTGGGAAAGGGATGGAGTGAAGGCAGGGGCTAGGGAAGAGCACAACTTGAGCACCCTGGGGAAAGTTGGAAGCCGGTGCCTGTGACCTCAGTACATGGCTCACCAATGTTGCTTCCATGTTTATAGTAGAAAAGTTAAAACTCAAAGATAAATCTTGCTGTTGACACTCTAGAAAGAACTCAGTTCTTGCTGCTTTTTGGATCATTTCTTTATGAATTTTAAAGAAGTTTCCCAGCTTATGCAAATGAAGCCCGGGAAATTCAAATCCCGGGCTTCATTTGCAAGTGCGGTATGCCTACATTACCCCGCTAGTTCGAACTAGCGGGGTAGTGTAGACATACCCCTACAGAAGGGGTCTATATTGTAACTGGAGATTCCTCAAGATGTGCAGACCCTGTGTATTCTAATTCCACCCTCCTTCTTCACTGCTGTGGCTCTGGAGGGCTGCAGTAGAGAAAGAACTAGAGATGTGGCCAGTCTACCACGCCCTTTACCACCCTGTGCCAAAACATGAGGCAATACAAAGGTGCATGTGGTGACTGCTAAGCAATACTACTTTGAAAAGGTCTGAGTCTGGGACCATGTGCATTACCTCGAGTGGAATATAGGTAGGGACCCTATAAAGAACCTCCAGGTACAAGTAAGCAATCTCCTCTTATCTGAACTGGATAGGGAATATGGATTTTATTCAGTTTAGTGAGAGGGCAGGAAGAATTCAGCT